GGGGGGCGAGTAAGAGGATTCATACCTTTCCCAAGGGTATTAGCACGTAAGTGAATGTAATGGATTCGAATGGAATTTGAACTCAGCTCTCTGATTCCTCAATCCGAGCTGCTATCCATTACTCCACAGTGCCTCCTACTGACATCATTTTGCTATTAATGGTTATGGATGTCTTTGTAAAAACAACATAGTTCTCTTGGAAGTTTTGCTCGCCATCACGAGATCTTTGATGATGATGAGAGGAAATTCAACCACAGATGTTTACATCTACACACACACATATATATATATATATATATATATATATATATATATATATATATATATTAAAAATGTCTGACAAAGTTTTTTCTTGTGCTTTTTCATAAATGAAAAGAGGATTTTTGGGCCTTAGTGCATATAGAAACTGCCCAAGGAATTCTGTGTGCTTTCAGCTAATCTATTAAACATTTTCAAAAATTTTGGTTTTACTATTATAAATAGTATGTAAGTTGTTAAGAGGGAGAAAATATTATGTTGTAATGGAATGTCCCCCACTCCCTATCACCTATGTGGACTGACTATATCAGTAGCTATATATAGTGAGCACAAGATATACCTGGGGACTTGCTTTAGGAATTACTAGCCTGCCACCTGATTCCCTGTCTTTCAGTAGTGTAATCTCTTTTACAATAAACCTGTCTTCTTTCATCTACATGTGTGTTGCTGTTCATTCACTTTGTTTGTAACCCCTTTAAGGATACAACATTTTAGCTTCCAGATATGACCAGTACATTATGGCTATGTTTTTAGTTGATTTTTATGTTTTTTTTTATGATGAGTGTGTCTATAATTTTTCAGCATTTTTACAGTTAGATGCCTGGATTATATTTTTGTTTTCAATGTGTATATTGGATATTGACATTTGTATGTTTTTAATATTGGTTTACTTGTGTCCTTATGAAGCTGTATTCTAAGTGATCTAATTCAGACATCTGATATATCATATTCATCAATATGTTTTCATCAGCAATATAATTCACTTTCACTCTGGGGTATTTATTTATTTCATAAATAATTTTGCTTTCGTATAGTTTGGTTTCTACAAGAGAAGTTGCTGCTGATATGGCTGGTTGTTTTGTATTTTTTGTAATAAATAATTAATTTGATATTTTCATATGTTCATTTGGAGTAATGAAATTTTAATACTTTTCTTTAGAGCAAATTTATGTTTGATGCATTTGTTTTTAACAAAATATCATAATATTATTGCTCTTGTCTCTGTAGACTGTGTTATAATTGTTTAATTTTGAGAAAAGAAGTTTCTTTCTTGCACACAGGAAAAATCCAATAACAAACTTAACCAATTTTTATTTTTAATGATATCAGTTTATTAAAATTCAATTCATTTTTAATTAATTCAATTAATTAATTCAATTCATTTTTAATGAAACTTATATCAGTGAGTGATTGCTACCCAAATTTAAGATTTACTAAAAATGTACCAATTTGTTCACCTAAACTCATCACTGTGTGTATCATTTCTCAGGTGAAACTTTACAAGGCAAAAAAGCAAATGTTTGATGAGTCATTTTCTGTTTAAAATTACTTATCTTCATGGAAGCATTTCTGACATTTGTGGTGCAAGGAAAGTGACACACATTTCTCTTTCTTTCATTGTATTTTGGAGAAAGAGGACACTTTGTCATTAGTGCATTTCTGACAGTGACAATAAAGCTAGCTGACCCTACACGCAGTCATAAAGCAAAGCGAGTCCTCTTGGACTCTTTTCATGTGGAATATAATTCAGTAAAGTAGTTCGATAGAGGAAAGAAATTTGATATATACATATATTGATATATATAAATTGAAAATTGATATATATATATATATATATATATATACACACAAGTTTGTTTAAAAAGAACCAGCAAGGTCTGTCTGTTTAATTTTTCATTATATTTTTCCAATTTTTGGATAAGCTGTTGAGTATTGTTCTTGAAGTTGTGGATAAACTGTCTAAAATTCATATTTTGTTATTTTTGATCAAATTCTTTCAATATCTGTCTATATTTCTGAGATGAGGTATTATGTACACTATTTACATTATTTGGACTATTGTCCTCATCTTTGTCACCATATTTATTACAACGTTTCGGCCGTTGTACGCTCTGGCCTTCTTCAGGTGGATGGAATGTCGAACAAAACCCTTTATTCCACTCACTGGAGTAGACTGTTCTAGTTCCACGTGCCATGTTTAATGGATGCCAGTTATCAGTTATCTCCTGTTAATTCCCTTCTCCAAGCTCTCCAGGGCCTTAAGCGGATATTGGACTCACATACTTTGGGTCCTGTCACTGGATTTAACCAACACCTTTATCCACTGTGCCATGTGTCCTTGAGGTCGAAATGTTGTAATAAATATGGCGACGAAGTTCTTTCAACTTTGCAGTCATTATCAAGAACCAGTGTCTGTGTGGTAGTTAGAATTCCTTTGTCTGCATCCTGGTGTTCTTTGGGAAGCTGGACGTTTGAAATGCTCTAGCATGATATGTGCAATGGCTATTGAAAACAAGGCCACACAAAAAGAATGCAATTTTTTTTAACATAATAATAATAAAAAAATATGTGTGCACATGAATTATACCATATCTTCTCCTGTGGTGAATGATATTTTATTTTATGTGGGTTGTTTATTTTGTATAATAATAGCTTCTAGTGTTTGAATTCCAGTCAAAACCATTACATTCACTTACATGCTAATCCCCTTGGGAAGAGTATGAATCCTCTTCTTCTCTTCCCAGCTATGGGTAAATAGCAGGACAGACAGAGTTCTGTAGCCTTGGATGGCAACTGGTCTACTGCAGAAAGAAATGGCAACCTACTGTGGGAAAAAAAAAACCTGCCTTGTCAGTCGTGTATAAAAAAAATACATGATCACCTTGGCTTGTATCATGCATGGCACATAACTGAGTGTTTTGAGATTTTCTTTACATTCGGTGCTGGAGGGTATTTTGGTGTTATCTACTGATATTTGTCTTCTGTTGATAGTTGTATTTTGGTTGTTCATGATGTGATGGTTGATGAGTACATGGACTGTACTGAGTGTCAAAAGATGATAGGCCAATCTGCAAGAGAGTCCAGCTTCCAAAAGAATACCAGGATGTATACAAAGGAATTCTAACTGCCATAAAGACACCACTTTGGTTCTTGATAATGACTGTGAAAGTTGAAAGTACTTGAACAAAAATAACAAAATATGGACTTGAGACAGTGTTATAGTAGAACACACCTATTCTATAGTTGATAGCTGTTTTACTCCTACGGAGTAAAGTTTTAGGAGGTGGGTGTTATGGTGAAACACACCTATTATATAGTTGTAATAAGTAGGGGTAGTAAGAGTAATGAGTGAGTCAGTCTATCAATTATAGAATAGGTGTGTTCCACTATAACAGACAGTTTATCCACAACTTCAAGCACAATGCTCAATACCTTATCTAAAAATTTGAAAAATATGATAAAAAATTAAACAGATAAAAACACTGATCTTGCCAGTTCTTTTTAATCAGATTTGTTTGGCTGAATACTTGGTGTGTAAATATACCTTTGATAAATATATATATATATATATATATATATATATATATATATCAATATAAAAGTGGACATAGAAGTCAACACTTAGATGCGACAGTCTGTTTCATGCTAGACACAATTGTCAGGTGGCTTGATGATTGCGTCTAGCATGAAACAGACTGTCGCCTCTAAGTGTTGACTTCCATGTTCACTTTAATATTTACCCATGCTCTATCTCTGATATTGAGCACTTTATTCCATAAATATAGAATATCTTAAGACTATATTCCTTCATATATGGATTGATGAATCAGAGGGCTAAGTTCAAATTCCAGTTGAGTTCATTACATTCATGTTCATGCTAATTCCTTTGGGAAAGGTATAAATACAACTCTTCAACCCCCGGCTATGGAAAAATAGTAGAGCAGACTGGTTTCTATAGCCTTGGGTGGCAACCAGTCAAGGAGAAGGAAAACTCTGAATACAAATCTGTATGTAGGCCTGACAAAGCATGTAGCATACATTACAAATGTTCTCTTCTAACGTGCCAGCATGAAAAGTAGGATCATAAAATTAATATGAGAAACTTTGTGGATCTTATGTTGATGAAATCAATTATTTTAATATAACTATATTAAAATTTGCTGTAACAATGGAGATAGAGGGTTTGTAAATATAGAGAGTATAAAAATGGAAATTAGAATTGTATGGTGACTGTCAGTTGAATACTTTCAGTTATAAATTTGTCTCTTCTTTCCTCCCAGCTACTTGTTAGAATGCATTGGCCCATGATAATGCACACTGACTCAAATTCTCCTTTTAAAAAATAAACATTGCTCAAATGTCAGTTGAAAGTCAAAAAAAAAAAAAAATGGAATAAATTGAATTTAAACTATGCCTAAAGATGCTTGCAATCAATTAGTTCTTGAAAAAGGCATGAATCCTCTTCTCCCTGTACTCTGTCCTGTTACCTGATATCTTGACTCAGATTCAGAAAGAGACAGCTGAAATTTCTTGGATGCATAACTTGGAAGGAGGGCTTGGAGAAGTTAACACTCACAGGACATATCTCAGGTAAAAGGGACAGGTGAAAGCAACCTACCTGATGAGTTTGTGTCAATGGATGCTGGAACTTGGTGGTAAGTGGGTGTCGGCTTGGAAAAAGAACAAATGTTGCAAAGAGCTCCAAGAGATAAGAAGTCGTGGAGAGCTATTATTATAGGTCATGCCCTGAAGGGACTCTGCTTATAGAAGAAAAACATTTATATATATTGATTACAAACTGACAATAATAATTTGCCTTTTGACAATTAGGTTAAAAAATATAATTTTTATTTTCTTTTTCTAATTTAATTAATTTTTCCTAAAAAATAGATTATTTATTTATTGTATCTTCCTATATGGTAGAAAGATATGATAATATTCATAGTTGATATTTTTATTCAATGTTTTCTTGTCAGTGCTCCATAAGTAGATTTCATGGGTTTAGATCGTAACAAATGCAGATTATTTAATTTCAGGATATAAAAAACAATATTAGCAAAATTTATGTATGATTTTGGGTTATTCTTTTCAAGTTTATTTAAACAAAATTGGGCAACAAAAATTTTGCTGCTGGATCAAGACATGTGTTTGAGATTAAACCAAGTATTGTGATTCCAATGTTGTCAAAATTGTTCTAGGATCTTCTTCATAGCTATCTCTGCCAAATCATATTTATCTATGCCATAGTTTCTGATAAAATGTTTTTCAATATTTTTCCTTATTACTATAGATTAGCCCTTTACATCCCAATATCAATTATTCATTAATGTAAACAAATTAATACAAGGCCCTGGTCACTATGTAAATTCATTTTGAGTGGAACCCCTATGCAGTCTCAAAACCTGTCTATGTACCTTTGTCTATTTATTATCTATCTATCTATCTCTGTCTATTTATTATCTATCTATCTATCTATCTATTCATTATTTATTTGTGTCTATTCAATATCTATCTTTCTATCTATTTCTGTTTATTCATTATCTATCTATCCTTCTATCTAACTCTGACTATTCATTATCTATCTATCTATCTATCTATCTATCTATCTATCTATCTATCTCTATTATTTCTGTCCATTCACTATCTATCATTTATCTATTTATCTTAGACTGTTCATTTCCATCTATCTGTTTGTTTCTATTTATCTGAGATATGAATAGACCCAGATAGATTGTTTATGTCTATTTATCCAGCTTCCTCTGTTCATATATGTCTGTCATAACCTCTTCATATCTATTTTAGTCTCTTCATATCTGTCAATCTTAGGTAGATAGCCTGTTTATATTTATCGAGTCAGCTATATAGCTCAGTATGTTCATATATATTTATCTTATCCTCTTCGTATCTATTTTAGTCTGTTCATATCTATCTTTCTGTTCCTATTTATCTCTCTTTCTATCTCTGATATAAGAAGACTATGTATCTAGCTAGCTTTGTTTTTTAATATCTATCAATCTCTTCACATCTATATATTTATTTCTCTCTATATCTCTGAGATGAGGTATTATGATTATTTGCATTATTTACATTAGTGGACTGTTATTCTTATCTTCATCGGCATATTCATGTGGATAAAGATGTTGCTTAGATCCAGTAACTAGGTCCAAAGAGTTGTGAGTTCAATATGAGACCACAGCAGTGGTGAAACAAAACTTGGGGAGTTGAGTTAAAGGCAAATAACTGAGACATCAGGAAGAGGCATGGCATATGGAACTAGAACCCCAGTGGATGAAATAAAGGTTTGAGTTCCAATCACCTGAAGAAGACTGAAGTGTACAATGCCCAAAACATTGTGAATATGGCAATGAAGATGAGGATAACAGTCCAAATAATGTAAATAATACGAGCAATCATAATACCTCATCTCAGAGATATAGACAGAAATTAAAGGCCGGAGTGTACAATGGCCAATACTTTATGAATATGGCAATGAAGATGAGGATAACAGTCCAAATAATGTAAATGATGCAATTTATTTCTATCTCTCCTATCTCAGATATGACAGAGATAGATATGAACAATCTATCTAGCTTAATCACTTTGTATCTTTCTATTTTAGTCTGTTCCTCTCTCTTAGTCTGCTCATAACCATCTATTTCTTTTCCTTATATCTTGTTCTCATAGCCTTTATTTTCATAACCTATTCATATCTGTCTATCTCAGATTATTCATCTGTGAATCTAGCTATCATAAATCTATTTTTCTTGTGTCATTCACTATCTATAATTTTATGATGACACTGGTTCCTCAACAAAACTTGTCATATTGCATTTTTCCAAATCATCTTAAATATTCACCATTGCGACAGATCCTCATCCAAATTTAATTCACATCATTTATCTCAGTCGGTTCAAATTTAATGATCTATCTTTCTGTTTTAATCTGTTCATAAGTGTCTTCTTTCTTATATATATATATATATATATATATATATATATATTCTCATCAATCACAATCTATCTCAGTGGATTCATATCTAACTATCTATATATCTCAGTGGATTCATATCTATCTATCTATCTATCTATCCCAGTGGGTTCCTATCTATCTATCTATCTATCTATCTATCTATCTATCTATCTATCTATCTATCTATCTATCCTTGTCCTTCTGCCCATCTGTATATATCTATCTTCATTTTTTTTTATTAGTCCTGTCTTTTTTCCTCTTTCAATCTTTTGCCCTATCATTTTACTTTTATCTTTTCTAAAGCAGAGCCTCTTTCTGAGTTCTACATGATGCAACACATGTGTTTATGTACAAAAATAAGCAGGCACACACACACATATATATATATATATATATATATATATATATATATATATATATATATATATATATATATATATATATACACACACACACACACACCAACCTCCTTCTATCAACTCGGAGAACACACATTGCTACACACATTCACTCAAGCGCACTCTTTCTTTGCCTTCCTCATTCTGCTACCAATCTTTTGCAAACCATCCTCACCCTGATTTCTCTATGATACAATCCAATATTTTAACATCACTGGCAGTTGCCTAATGGAATTCCATTGGCCATTTATTTATGAGCTTTCTCGCTCATGATTGGATAATCCATCTAATTAAAAACCAGTCGATTTAGCTGAAATGTCTTGTCAGTAAATGCACAGGTCACTGGCCACTAAAGCTTATGACTTTCAACTCAAATAACCCAAACGGAAATGGTTGCCTATCAAATGACCTTCCAAAAGTCCAGCTTTCTATTCAACTCATTCAATATCTTCTTTCATTACTTTTTCCTTCATTTAGTTCTAAACATTCTTTTTCCTTTTCTTTATCCTCATTATTTTCATGCTTTTATTTCTTTTCTTTTTTTTCTCTACTTGTTTCATACTTTTTTCTTTATGACTTTTAATTCTTTCTTTTTTCATAATTTACAGCTTAATTTTTATCTTAGTCTTCATTTTTATTGTTTCTTTCTCCTTCTGCTTTCTTTTTTGAGTTCCTTGTATTTTAAATTTTTCTTCTTTCCTTTTTTTGTTTCCCTTCCTGTTCTTCCTTTCTTTATTTCATTTTGCCTTTTTTTCTGTTTTTCACTTTTTCTTTCTTTTAACTTTTAGATTATTTTTGTTTAATTTTTATTTTCTTTTTTTCGTGTCTCTTCTTCATTCTTTCCTTCATTCTCTCTGAATTGCTTTTCTTTCTTTCCCTTCATTTTCTTTTTTCTTTCTTTTGCCAGTATTTTTTTTTTATTTCCTTGCATCAGTCTTTCTCTATTTTTCTTCTTCTGATTCTGTCTTTCTCTTTCATTGATCTTTCTTTCTTTTTATTGTTTTTCATAATCTTTCACTTCTTTTTTTTAGTCTTTTCTCTCATGATTCATTTCTTTCCATCTTTTCCCTTTTTATTCTTTCTCTGTATTTTTCCCTTTTTAATATCTGCATTCACCTTACATCTTTTTTCCCCTCTGCATTTCTTCTTCTTCTTCTAAAAGGCCCTTTTTTGATTTTTTCCTTCTTTTCCATTATTAACTTTTTCTCTTTTTTTCTTTTATACCTACATTCAGTTTTCCTCTTTTTTCCCTTTTATCTCTGCGTTTACTTGACTAAAAAGGCCCATTTTTTTTTCAGTTTTATACTTTCTTATTCTTTCTTTGTTTCCCTTTTATGTCTACCTTCAAATGGCATATTATTCATTTCTTTCTATATTTTTCCTTTTCTATTCTTTCTTTCTTCTTGTTTTTCATTTTTATATTTATCTTGTCTTCCTTCTTTTCCTCTTCTACTTTTCAAATTCCTCAGTTTCTTCCTCTGCTTCTTCTAAATGGCCTATTATTCATTTCTTTTCTTTTTTAGTCTTTCTCCATTTTTTCCCATTTATATTAGCTTTCCCTCCTTTTATTTCTTCTTCATCAAAATGGCCTATTATTCCTATCACATTTAGCTTCAATGCTTTTCTCTTATTTCCAACAAACAAATTCCTTTCTATTTCCATCAATTCCAAACCATCCAATTCCACTTTCACTCTCCAATACATTCAGCAAACTATTCATTCCCAATGACAGCCATTTTCTCTCTTTCTCTCCCTCTCCATTTTCTATTTTCAATAATATTTATCTTTGCATTATCAATTCTCATCTGATTTTAACCATTTATATTTGTCATTATTCTACAAAGTAAGAGAAAAAAATAAACATACTCTTGAAAAAAAAATGTTCAGTTTCTTTCATAAATAACTCAAAATAAAAGTTTGCAATTTTTTATTATAAGTCTGAGAAAATAATTATGCTTTCACTTACATTCAGTATTTTAGTGGAAGTACAAATATCATGTGACCTTATTTAGATAACTCATAGAAATTTTGCAATAAGCAGGATATTCTAATATTCTTTCTGAACCTTATCACCCCTACTTTGTGTAATCTATCAAACAGTCCATTTTATGAATTATTATTTGGTTTTATTTCCAGTTGGGAGATTCAAAATAAATTTGCAAATAATTGCTATTGCCTTTCATTTTTTTTTCTTTTAGGTACTAAACCATATTTCTAATTTCAGCTACAAAATCTTTTTCCTTGCCTCATTTATTTTTATTTTATAATTTAAGTTTATATCTTTTTTCAGCAAATCAGCCATATTGTTTTTTGTTTTTTTTCAACTTCAAAGCTATGTTTCACTTTTACAATAACAAACTTTTTCTCTCTACATCAACCAGAAAATACATTTGTATTAAAAATTTTTTTTTTTGCAGCTACCATGGATGTTTAACATTTCAGCTTATATATTATTGATGTTTACAAAACTTTGTACAATATGAAACCATAAATGTTCAGAACCCAGTGAGGATCAAGCTCACTAATGTAATATTCCTTTAAAAGACAAACTTGTGAACCACTGCTCTTGAATGAAGTAACCTTACAGGTATTTACTAAGCATTAGTCTGGCACGAGGCCATAGATGTTGGGAGCCATAGAAATCAGAATCCTTTCAAATTCTCTTGCTTATAAGAGGAAAAGTATTATATTTGTTTATTATTGTTATCGTGGAACTCCCTATCACGCCCCGACAGTGATTGGTCAGTCTAAATAGACGTGAATGAGGAGAAAATAAAAGACGTTACAAAGTATTGTAGTAGCAGTACCACTACGGATCTCTGTGACGTATCTCCCATTTTCCTTATTATTATTATTATTAAGAACTCTTACTCATTGTACTTTCCGTATGTTATTTGTTTTACCTAATTCCTGTGTGTAGCGTAATCTTTCCACTCGGAATTACCTAGTTGCTTATATCGTATTATCCACAATATAACAATTATGTATAGTTTAGTCTGGCACAAAGCAAAATTATGAGACATCTTCATCTTGTATGTGCCATGTCTTTCAGGACAGGACGATCATAGCTATACATAATTTCCTGTCTTTTGCAGCTCTTAATAAGTTTTTTTTTTTTTGATATCTCTCCTAATCCCTGATCTGTCAACCATTTACATAAGCTTGTTAGCTAGGTTTTCTCTCTCCCTCTTGCTTTCAATCTATCCTGTGAGTATCACATTTACTAAGTGCTCTTTCCTCATTATGTACCCTAGAAATTTCAACTCTGATTCTATGTGTAAGTGTCCTTTTTATCTCCCTTTTCCCTAAAACTTTGTCATTTCTCATTTTCTACTGGTCCTTGGGTGGAAAGATAAGTTGTATGAGACTGACCACTGAAAAGTCAAAGCAATACAAAGACAACACAAGACATGGTAAACTTAAAAACTTTATTCAAACTCCCGCTGAATCCATTTTTACTTCCATCATTCCCTAGTGGCATCAGAAGTGCTTATAATCATCATCCTAATCAACAATTTTGATGTTGTTATAACAACTCACATGTTCAGTTCATAGTATTCTCAGCATCCTTCTGTAGAATGTGGCAAAAGAGAAAAAAAGTACATGTGTTCTGTACAGTATACGAAAGACAAAATAGAAACAAGTCAGTTGCAGCTGTTGCCATAAATGCATGTCAGATATGCTAATATTGTTTATCCTCTCCAACCATCACCCAATGAAAAAACTGTTCCATTGAAAAAACAATTAATGTTCACAAATTGGGTGCAGTTTATTTTTTTCTATTTATGTCCATTGGCTTGCATGTAACTGTTGCAATGTGCATTGGATTTCTGACTGTCTATATGCATTGGGATTTTTGACAGTAGACCTACAATTCATGATTTTGTCATTCCTTTCTGCCTCTGAATCTTTGAATTTGGATATGCAATTTGTTTATCTTATTTTGGTACCCTTTTCTTTGTTTCTAATGGCATTTTTTATTTCTTAATACTTTGTTTAGCTTTGAGAAGGCATCTTTTTTCGAATTGAGCTGCCATATCAGTTTTTGAACATAGAATCACATTTCTCTTTTTCATCTTTCTCTGTAAGGAAATTGTTCGGTATTCACTGCGATACAGGAAGACCTATATTACATAACAGTTCAGTAATCTCTTCTTTGTTTCTAATGAAATTTTTCTATTTCTTAATACTTAGCTTAGCTTTGGGAAGGCTTCTTTTGTTATTCCAATATGCCTTCAGATTTCAGTGTTGCATTTTCTGTCCTCTGTTAAAATATTTCCTAGATATTTAAATTTTCACAATATGCAAACTACCTTGATTTTGCAGATACCAAAATCAAGGTAGTTTGCATTCTGAAGTTGTTCCTTTTGCTGACAACCATACATTCTATCGTCTTACAATTGATGTTTAGTCCTTTCTTCTTGCTTTTCTTCTATTATATAGGAATAAAGTGTCTCTACTGACACTTGAGTTTGAACATAGATCACCACTGAATAAACACAGGTGATCCCATTATTGAATTAAGTAGACCATAGAAGAAACGCATATATGGGAGTTAGCGTGTGTCTAATTGATCACTATTTCTCCACTATCACTATATGGACTGCTATTCTCTATTCTCTTCTCTCCACTATTCTCTATTCAGATCAATGTGGTGATTACTATTTGAGTATTATCAATTAAGTACTATTAGTACGAGTGATATTCAAAGGCATCTGACACCAGCATTGTTTAACAGCATACTGTAGTTCTATCTGCAATTACAAAGTCTCTACTACAACAAGCATTTGTTGACATCACAAAAGTGTCAAATGAGTGTTCGTTGACAACCTTCACTATCTTTTGGAGGAATTCATGTAGTTTCCTCTCTATGTCTGCTATCATCTTTCTGAGGTCATCTTCATATCTAATTTTGTTAAAATTGTGCCTAACCAATAATGAATCCTGTTAGGACTTCTAATTCTTTCATGATTGTCTCACTCTAATGTCCAGTGTTTTACACATCTTTCTATTCTTGTATTTACTGAATCCAAAATAAATCAATCTTACCTAGCAGTTCAAATAGTTCATTGTAACACACTTCAGCAAAGACTTTTGTATAATCTATAAAATATAGGTACACATACTTTCGCATTTGTATTGTTCTTCCTGTTATCATTGTGAGCATAAATGTCACATTCCTTGTTCCAATGTCTTTAACAAAACCATCTTGTTCTTGTCCTATTTTGGGCTTAATTTTGCTGCATGTTCTATTTCTCAAAATTTGGATGGGAGGTTTCATCATGTGGCTCATTAGGCTGATTGTCCGGTGACATTTATATTTATTTGAACCTGGCTTCAGAAGCAGTGCTATGAAAATGGTTATGCCTAGGTCTTTTGATATATCCACACTGTTGTATATTTCATTTATTATGTGTATAATCTGGTCAGTATCAAAATTATCTAAACCTGCCATCATCTCTCAACATTTATGACTCTCGACAATATTCTCATAAAAGATAATGGTGTGAAGAATGTTGATTCTATTGGAATTAACTCCTTGCCTGGCAGGAGGAACATGTGCAACATAGCAGTTAGTGTTGTTAAAATCACTGACAGCAATAACAGTCTGCAAGACTTATTTGCTAAACACTGTTCCATATTAAGAAAATCTTTAGAACATTTTTTTTAATTATTTCACCTCAAGCAAGATGATAATGCCACTAAAACATCAGGAGTTCCTGAGAATAAAAGGGAATGTGAAGATTTTAGTGAGAAAAAAGGACAATAAAAGAACTGTATTCAAGAAGATGGCAAATGATGTTGCATTTAAATTTTTGAAGGTTGTAGGTGGCAAGGAAATAAGAAACCAGGAGAGAGTTCCACAGGCAAGAAAAATAACTATTAGAATAGAACTTATATTACATCTATTTCAACAATAAAACAATGAGATCTAGTTGCCAATCTAATAGTACGCTTAAATTTATGCAATCATGGAGGAAAGCTTATTAGAAAAAGTGCCATGAAAATATTTATAAAAAACACAGAGAGAAGCCATGTCACAGAGGTGAGAAAGTGACTGAAACTGAGATGCCAGGTCAAGACCAATAACACTGCAGATTTTTTGATTATAGATTATATATAAGATTATAGAGACTTTTTTGAGATATTCTTGAGAAT